CATTACATACCTACAAAACCATTTCCAATAATTAAAAGTCACCGTGAGAGCATGAAGAATTTGAATAAACAATGGTGATTGATTGATTTACAATAACCTGATCTTTATTCTAACAGATATTAATTTTGTCGGGTTTCTAACCAACATCTGACATGATTTGAGCTCATAGATATTTCATTGAACATCTTGTAAGCAATAAATTTACACCATAATTTTTTTTGTAAAGAAACACTCGCCTGTTTAGCTAATTAATAAGAAACACAGAAGCAGCAGCGATGTCTTACTTACAGATGGGTCGATTATTTAGACAAAGCAAAGCAATAGGCCAATAGCTCAGTTCCATGGTGTCTTGTGAGGTGTCAGTGTTTCGAGTTATCACCAATGATTAAATTTCTATTATTGCGCGTTTGGCTCGGATGGTGTATTTAGAGGGCACGAGGTTTATACTGGTTCGGGCAGAATGTCTCTACGTCCAGTTCGTCGCTGTTGCTCGTGTTACCAGCACTGAAAGTTTACAGTAGGGGTTACAAACGGATGAGAGAGAGACATGTCCCAAGTCTCTGGTGAAAGAAGTGAACGGGTGCTGAGAGCTCGATTGCTGCTCAGCCGAGTGCTCGTATCGTGTTCTGATCGGTTCGAGGTGATTCGATCAGTTATCCGATGCCTCCCATGGGACGCCCTGCTTTCCCTTTTATAGGTCAAGGGAAAGCGCGGGTTACAGCGGAGGAAGGGAGGAGAACCAGAGAAAGAAGTCCTTTAGGATCGCCGGGTCCTCCTTCTCCTTCATACGGGTCCTGCAGCTCCACGTCGCAGTCCTGTCCGTCACTAGCGCCATGCGCAGGCGTCGCCTGCCGATCATGGCGTTCCATTACGTCGTAGGCTCGTAGCGGACGTCGTGGTGAGCTGTCGCGTCTGTTAGCGTTCGTACGGGGGTTAGGCGGAACAGCACCGGTGCACCCGATGCTGTTCCTGATGTGAATCCCTATGTATGGCCCGTCATGGCCACAGGTTACATCGAGGTGTGCCGGTCTCTTCCTTGGCGTCAGAGTTTTGACCTAGGCCCATACGCTTGGACCTGTAGTGGTTTGTGGCGGTATGGGACCCCATCGGGCGAGGCAGAGTTCGTGGCCTCGGGATCGGGCGAGGCGGAGCTCGCGGCCTCGGTGTCGGACGAGGCAAAGTCCTCTCCCAGAGGTCGGGCAAGGTGGAGTTCGCCCCCAGAGGTCGGGCGAGGCGAAGCCCGCGGCCTCGGTGTCGAGCGAGGCGGAGTTCGCCCCCAGAGGTCGGGTGAGGCGGAGCCCGTGGCCTCGGTGTCGGGCGAGGCGGAGCCCTCTCCTAGAGGTCAGGCGAGGCGGAGCCCCGCGGCCTTAGTGTCGGGCGAGGCGGAGCCCGCCCCCGGAGGTCGGGCGAGGTGGAGCCCGCGACCTTGGGGTCGGGCGAGGCGGAGCCCGCCCCCGGAGGTCAAGCGAGGCGGATCGCACGGCCTTGGGGTCGGGCGAGGCTAAGCCCGCGGCCTTGGTGTCGGGCGAGGCGGGGCCCGCCCCCAGAAGTCGGGCGAGGCGGGGCCCGCCCCCAGAAGTCGGGCGAGGCGGATCGCACGGCCTTGGGGTCAGGCGAGGTGGAGCCCTCCCCCAGAGGTCGGGCTAGGCCGGGCCCGCGTACCTGGGATCGGTTGGAGCTGTAGTCGCGCTCTTGACTGCTCGGAGGAATTAATGTTGATGACCATTAGCCCCTCCTCTTCGGGTACCCGATCCCCGACAAGAGGTTTCGTGTGATTCAAATTGGCATAAATGAAAGAGAATGGTGGTTTCAGCCAACTACGCTTCTCAAAACAAATATTCAGATCACGAACCAGCTGCTTCCAAAATAAAAAGGCAAAGATGATTTAACCCCTGGGAAAAGGGAAGGAAACTAAAGGGAGTGTACAACAAAATATATGATTCCAGTTTCATAATTCTAATTCTCAAACCAAAATTTGTTACAGCTTAAGAGATTAGTGTGGTAAGCCTCATCTTATATATGATTCCAGTTTCATCATTATAATTCTCAAACCAAAAGGGAAAATGCTTCATCGTATACACTTGGTCCTTAATTGTTTAAACATTGAAAATTTCTTAGCTGAAAGATTGAAGTTTTGCCGTAACTCCAATACTTAAATAAACTTCTATAATTCTATTAATCAAAAGTTTTTAATCCACAGCTAATCATCAGTTCATCACTCCCATCAGCACAATCACAAACTAATCCAAGAGCAAACTACAATAATCCTCCAAGAATAGATCAAGTCGCAAGTCGCAAGAGCAGCAGCAATCACCTAATCAAGCCACTGCTCCAGTCACCGCCCTGCATTCACCGCAACGCACAGGAGAAAAGATAATAACAAGAGACAGGTACATAGACAGAGATTTAGTTTTTCCAGGAACTTGGATGCTTGAACTTGCCCATCCGTGAGCAGCTTCTCAACGGTGTTGGCGCTGGTGGAGAGCGCGAGCAGGAAGGGCTTAGCGGGGAGGCTGCGCTTGGCGGCGAGTTCTAGCACGAACTCGGTGAGCACGACGCAGCAGGTGTCGTTGGTGAAGAGCGCACTGGCGAGCGCGGTGACGACGCAGACGCGGCACAGCAGGTCGCGGCCGCCCTAGCTCCGCCAGGAGCTTGCCCAGGTCCTTCAACATTCCGGCGCCCTTGAGGTAGCCTCCCAACCATGGTGGCGAAGAGCAGGCCCAGCATCGCCCCAGCCGTGCGCCGCCGTCAGGCCGCGTCAGCCCAACCCTAGGGACCGTTTTTCCCAACGCTGTGGAAGAAGAAGAAGGGGGTGTGGGAAGTAGAGTGGGTCTGGATCTCCGCGATCCGGCCATCATCGGATCGCCGGAGAAAGTCGCCGGAGCTCTGGCGGCGGGCGGTGCGGGAAGAAGAGGCGCGGCCGGTCTCCCCCACGCGCGTGTTCTGTCGAACGAGAGGCAGGAAGAGGCGCGACACGGACAACGGGAGCCCTTCCTACTCCGGTGAGGCCGCACAGAGGAGGTGGCCTAACGCCGGCGTCTGGAGCCAGAAGGCGTGGCGGCGTCCATGGGAGACGGGGAGGGTCGGGCGCGGGGTCATGAGTACGGGACGGCGTGGACGCGTGATGGCCGAGCGGGGTGGGATGCCAGGCAGACGGGGACCCACATGTCGGCGCCGAAAAAATCGTAGGGTGAGACGTAGCGTCCGGCTTCACCACGGGCAGTCTAACGGGTCCAGTTTAATCTTTTTAGGAGCAGAGATACGACTGATGACGCCGTTCTCAATGTTACATATTTCTCAATGGTGTGTTTTCTCTCTCAACATTTTAGCGTAAATATCAGAATAAGCTAAATTTCAGCATAAGCAAACTGAATAAATAAGGCTTGTTAAAGTATTTTTTTTAAAAAAAATTAAGGTGCGAATTATTAATGTTATCACTCTGTGCCCGGGAAAGATTAAAATCTACAGCTACAGCTCGATACGTGTGAGCGTAGGAATAGAAGAGAATGGAAGGACCACACACTGTTTTATACTACGATTGCTACTGTGCAACGTATCCGGTCACACAGGCAGTGTGTGTTTCTAACTTGGGTTATATTTTATTTTATCTCTAGTACGATTGTCCAGTTCTCACCTTCAGATAATGGCTTAGCCTGTTCGCTTGTTCGTAAACGATTGTAAATTTCCAGCCGAGAACAGTATTTTTTTCTCACACCAAACCAGCCAACAGTAAATAATCCACGATACGATACGGTCTCCGAACAGGTTATTTGTTTACTGGTCATCAACAAGCGACGTGCGGCGCTGCGAGGGTCTGGATTCTCCAACGACTACTTTTTGATCGAGTAATAATTTACAGTAAAACTTATATGAAACAACATTCCAGATCACATATAGTTGTATTACAGCAACGACAAAAGTCACATTAAATATAATTGTATTTCAGGACAGTTCAAAACGTGTGGGGTATTGGCTAAACAGGACAGTTCAAAACGTGTGGGTGTATTAGCTAAAACGGTTTTGTTTGTTTATAGCAGAGAGCCTTTGCATCCAAAGTCGGTCGACAAAAGAGTAGTAAGAGGCACCAAATACTTTACACCGCACCGCATTGCCTTTGAAAAAAAATTTGCCACCTTCAGGATCTGAGTTGTCATCGTTGAGAAAAACTGCAGTATCTCAGCCGATCAACCACCATACCATTGTGACGTCAACAAATCAGACCAAAAAGAGTCGACATCATAACCTGAGCGGCTGTCATCGACATAGTACGCACATTATCATCGTATAGGCCACCTAAAAAGAAACACACTGGCATGCATCCAAGCTCAATTTCCATGTCACTAATATTGTGCCAATAGACAGACAGCTCTCGATTCAGGAATACAGTAAGGAAAACCATGTCAGCAGAAAAAAAAAATACATCACCAACAGATGGGGGCATAGGAGTCGTGTGGCAACCATAATTAAACATCATCTGGAATCCAAAACACAAACTATAGGACATTTTCCAGATCCTCATTCAGAGGATGCAAACATTGAAAAGCTAACATGTTGTTTATTGAACTACTAACATAACCCTTGAGTAGGCAACAGCATCACAAAGCTTGAGTCTCCCGGAATCGGTTCATGCCATCAGTGAGCGCGAGCCGGAGGTGAAGAAGAGAACTGACAGCTCACGAACAGGCACGTATCACATTTCATGTGTAGAGGTTGCAGACACTAAAAGGTACCACTAAGTCCCTCTTATCAGCAGCAGGGCCCTGAAACAAGCTAAGGTGTGACGTTACATCTTATTCTTACAATAACTGTCAGCAAGGAAGTGCATTATTTATTACTCTTACTCCTAGTACAGCATCAAAAGCCAGGTTCGGGTCAACTTTGACATGTACCGAGTATGTCATACCGATAATTACTTTTTCCTGAATGATAAAATCTGTGCAAGGTGAAGCAATGAGATCCCTCTCCAACAATGGTGTGCGGAGCCCCACAAGGCGGAAGATTCACCATGCAGGTGCCTTTGACTTCTCCACAAGAATGATTCTTCCATTCCACTCAGTCTCGTCACAAGCACGGATTGCTGCATCGGCATCCTCATCCTTCTCCAAGGATAAGAATCCAAAGCCACGGGAATCTCCAGTTCTATAAAGAATGGAAACAGTACTGAGTAACTTCATTCTATCGAAGTGATGTATCTGAGTACAACGTCATGATTGGTTCAAAAAAGTTACTGCATGCTGGGAACTAATTGGATAAGGTAGGGAAAACAGTGAAATTCCCTAACACAATGCTGAAAGTATACCACCAAAGCTCTAGAAAATGCAGTAGTAGCTTTCTTATAGTTAATCTGTAAAGAGTATAAGCCAGGCAAACTCCTATGACTGATTGCTTCAGGTTTGTTACAGATTTGACAGGATAAATTTAGCTAATCAAGGTTTTGCAGTGCAATGATAAGCAGTTTGAAAATTTCCCATTTGCCAGGCCAACTCCACTTTTCATTTTAGTTACTTTGAGTTATGTATAACAAGGCTGTTCAATTGCAATTTGCTCTGAAGTATTGACTTAAAAGCCCAGTACTTTGTATAATTTCACCAAAAAAGACGAAGCCACGGTTTCTTTAAGTCATACTTTTAGCCAAGAAAAAGGATTGTTCCCATCAAGATTCTGTTATTTAGGAGTCAACATGGCAAACTTAGGTGCAATGAAGTATAGACATCAGCTTGCCTACCAAAATGTACAAGCATCTTATTCTAGACTTATTAGAAGAATGTAGTTTAAATAACTATGCTATTTAATAGATTAATTCTGCAACAGCTTCACAAATCAACCAAAAAGCATTATATTCAAATTTGTAAAAGCATAAAAAAGCATAACTGTTTAAAGAAAAAGAAAAAAAAACATAAACAAAAGATGAGCATGAGGTGCACAGAGGTCTCGTCCAATGATGACACTGCACTATGAAAGCAAGTATACTAAAAGTGCTGAAACCAGAAGAGTATCGCAAAAAAGATTGTTGACAACATTACCAAAGGAAGCTGGGAGATACAAATTTAACATAATATGGAAGTAATTACCGTTTATCACGAACAACACGTGCACTTGTTACATGTCCAAACTTGCTAAATTTCTTCTCCAAATCTCGCTCAGTGGTGGCATAGCTAAATCCTGCAATAAAGAGATTCTTTCCAGGCTTACCCAATCCAGTCTTCCTGTTGGCAGGTGGCGACCAATGTCTTCTTGGTGAACGATGGCGATGACTGGTGGGGGGTGATCTGCGCCTTGGTGAATGCCTTCTACAATACAAAAATAAATAGAAGAGAATAAAATAGCAGGCAGAAAAAATGACGATGCAGACGCCAAATAAATAGTCCTACAATAGAAGTATACATGATACAAAAACGACCTATTCAAGGATGCATGTCCAGACAGTATATAATCATAAATCCAGTATGTTCAAAAACATGAACCTGGCACGATCATTTAAAGGAATTCATAATTTCAGCAGCCTTACTGCCTTATAGTTACTAATGGCAAGGAATCACCTTGGAGATCGCCTGTGATGATCCCTTGAGTGGGGAGACCTGGACCGAGATCTATCATGTTCTTTTCTATGTCTAGAGGTATCATGTTTTCTCGAAGGTGACCTTGATTTTGACCTATCCCTCCTCCTTGGGGAGTCCCTCCTCCTCTTTGGTGAATCTCTCCTCCTTGGTGAGTCTCTCCTCCTTGGTGAGTCTCTCTTCCTTGGTGACTCCCTCCTCCTAGGTGAGTGCCTCCTCCTAGGTGAGTCTCCCCTTCTTGGTGATTCCCTCCTCTTGTGTGAGGATCTTCGAGGGGATATAGATCTTCTTCGAGGGGGTGCAGATCTTCTTCGGGGAGATGCAGATCTTTGTCGAGGCGACCCATCACCATGTTGAGACTCTCTCCGTCTTTTCCTTTCTACAGGAGAACTATGTTGCGCATGTGGAGACAACTCCCTTGAAGAGGCTCTTTTGCGGCTGGGGTCATGTTTTTCAGAAGATCGGGACCGATGTCTTACTGGTGGGCTTTCAGAATGAGCTAACTCACCAACATCTTTGGCACGATATTGTGACTCCATCTTCTCAGAATGATGGGCATGTGAACTTTCAACTGGAGGAGATATCCTCCCATCTGGAGATGGGGTATCCCTTTCCAGTCTTGCAAACCTTTCCGGGGATACTCTCCCATCCGGAGATGGTGTGTCCCTTTCCAGTCTTGCAAACCTGTCCGGAGGAGAATCAAATTGATTGTCTGGAGTTGAACTTCCATTTCTAGTACTAGGATTTTTCTGCTCTGTCTGTTCCCAAGAGGGAGGTACAGCTGAAGTATTAAACTTCTCATTGTCTCGACCATTAATGGGGCAAGGTTTCATACCATTCATTTGATCATCCTCTGACCCACTGTTTTCATTGTGAGAAGTCTCATGTAACTTTTCCATCTCCTCATTTTCCATCTGAAGCGCAGGAGAGTTTGGAATATCATCAGCAGGAGCACCACTATTGTTAAGCTGGTAACCCTTACTACTATTTTCAGTTAACAAAGAGTCACCATGGTAGGCATCAGAATATGTAGCTTCTGGTTGAAAGTTTGATATATCATTACCACTGCTTTCAAGAAGCTTTGGAGGCAACACTGCACCAATCACTTCTGTGTTCTGATGTTCATCACAGCCCAGAGAAGTGATCTGTTCTTCAGAGTTACTATTGTGAACATTTTGTTCAGCTGCATCATTCTGTACATCAGATTCTATATTAAGAGGTTCTTGAGGTTGTTTCATCGAAGATTCTGGACTAGCTGAAGCAGATTTAATAACATTGCAAGTGATTTGATCATTCATGAAGGGCGGAGAATCTGTAGATAAATACGGAATTGCATCAGCTGGATCAACCAAAAGTCCATGATCCAGTGTTGGAGACTCATGTTGTGGAATTCCTCCTCCTTGATAACCCAAGTGGTCCAACAGGCTGCCACCTTGGTCTCCAAATAATGGCCCAGGATCTCCACAAGTCCCCTCCAGATTTCTCTCAGGGGATATGTACTCCATCTGAATGAGCAAATTTGAATAGCATAAGCATACATAGCTTGCTCAATATAGCTATACAGGTCCAAACAACTCATTACACCCTAATTTCGAACGAAAAAAAAAGATACAAACATGACTGAAGCAACAAAATTATCACCTTCTTGGTATGATGCGTGCAGGACTACCTTATTGGAAATAATATGAACAACAGGCCTCTTTGCATTTCGAAGTGCTGATTTGCATTTGCGTTAAGACCGTATTGCTCCACAAGTGTGTCAACAAAAAGAATACTACAGTGGAATGTCAGACTTGACTAACTCAGATCAGGTGTGGCAAAGTGTGTTCGGTGAACCAAAAATAGCAACAATCATGACTCAATTAGGACTATGTTTCATAAATGGCAATACAGGTTAGATATTCCAATTCTAAAGCCATGTTAGTTCTACAATCAGGACAATACAAATCCAACAATGATGCCCAAAATAAATAAAAAAAGGTTTGTTTGGTTTGTGCGCAGCCAGCCTTGGTGCGATACGTCTAGCCAACAGAATTTAGCAATTATCAGATGCCATCCAAATTTTTTGCCAGCCAAATTTTGGTAACGCGTATTGGGCCACAAACCAACTAGCCTTCCACTGATTCTCAGTCTACAGATTATAAAGGGTCAAATACGCATGCACATTAACAAAACATTCACGAAATTCCACGAGTCAAGTTTTGACTTCAATAGTTGTAATACTATGGTTCCACTTCCAAGTCATCAAGTTTATTTGAAGAGAAACAACATAAGACGCTATATAAAAACCATTTTGGACAGTCTGGACATACAAGGTAACAGGTTAATTTATGGTGATTTTCCAGCTTTTATTTGAGAAGGTCAACAACTATTGTAAAATCCCAGAACATTAATACCGTTCCCACGCTTCGACATGACAATGCCTATGAAGTAGCCCCTAGCATCTTCCCAGAAACAGCAGCAGAACAAGAATCAACTGCGCATAGTACAAGAGATTTCAGTGAGCTATTTTGGAACACCAGAAGCGCCAAATCAGTAAAAATTAGAAACCCGGTTCCTCACGCAGATCCTCACTTCCCTCACTGACACACATGAACCAAGCGCAACAATGAGACCCGATCGCAACAATTTTCCACGGCCGCAACCACACAACAGACCAACCACGGCGTCTGATCCGAGTGCCAACCAATACAGCACGAAATCCGCGCAACCCGGATCGAACCAGCTACCGCATCTAGGGGCCCCCCCATCCACGGATCCGAAACCCGATTCCGAGCGAGCAAGCGAGCCCGGTAGTGGGGAAGCGGAGCGCTCACCTCGGACGGCCCCGGCGCGCGCCACCTCCACCGGCCGCTGCTCCTCCGGCCCCCGCGATCCCTCTCGCGCCTCCCCCGCGCGAGGTTTTCTTCTGCCCCCTCTCCTCTTCGTTAGGAGAGAGAGAGAGAGACGGGTTGAGATTTTTGGGGAGGCCGTACGAAACGGAGGGCTCGTGGTGTGGTGGCCTGGTGGGGCAGTATGGCTGGCCTGGAGGAAATATGCCGCTGCGCGTGACGTGAGAGGTGATATGGGTGGGGTGGGGTCGTGGGGACCAACCCAGGCTCCTCGGGACCCACAGGGCAGCGGGTCGTGTAGGCAGCCGGTGACCGGTGGGTGACCAACTGCGCGGTGACTGTTTGTAACCATCGTTCCAACTTGCAAGGGTTGAAGCGTGCTGCACCGGGAACCTACCTGCACATGGCGTTGTTCTGGGCCGCGGGGAAGCGAGACTTCCATGGGCCAGTAGGGCCCAGCAGATCTCGGGCAGGAGGCCTGCGAGGGCCCATCCTCCGTCAGTCCGTCTCGTCGGCGGTGAGTGAAAGTCAAAGTCCAAGAGGCTCTCCTCTGCAGCTGCGAGTTCGTTACAGGATAACTAATAATTTGTAGTAAAAACATATGAATCGTATGATAAAACAATAATATTGTAAAAATTAAATACCAACGTTAAAGTGACAGTTAATCCAAAAAGCATAGTTTGTGAAATTAACAGTCACGTAGAGTGTGGCGTCACAGGCTTACAACTCTACTGTATAGACTTTTTCGTGATGCGGCTAGGATCATACCCGTGCGTTGCAATAGGAACAAGATAATGCCATGATAATTTAAATTTGATTTTGCGTTGTATTGTTAAAAAATGATTTCGACCGTAACGTTCGCAACAATCCGTTTGTAGCCCACAGTTGTAATTTTGGATGGAGACATTTATTTAAATACCCATGCATCTCCTACTCACAACAATCACAAACCGTATTTGTAGTTACATATATAGTTTTTTTAATTAGTGCCCATACTGTGGCAGAACCGTCTAATCTAATGTCTCTCAGGTCGTCTTCCATTATCTAAGGGAGGACACCAAATTACACGGTTCCGTCGCTGCTAGTACTATGAGCTGCTAATGATACATGCATATTTGCTCTATGCGCTGGTGGCTTCGGCAGCTCGGTGAGTACTTGGGATGAACTGCCGAGAGCGAGCAGGGCAAGGTAGTTGAGACAAGCGGCTGAGATCACTCGCTACAGGTGCTGGTTCACGAACAAAGCGCCAATGACATGTCCTCGACGCGTTCTAGCGAAGTTCGGTCAATTTTTAGAGTGATCGTCGCAACCCCTAACGCAACTACGACCTGTCCCATGCTCAAGTACTTACTCCGATGCGACCAACTGTGCAAAAGCATAACATTAGTGTTGAGGTATGTTTGTTGAAATTTAAATGCCAACATAGCATTGTCTATTATCGTTTCCGACTTAGAGAGAATAATAACTTAGCTAGAACTAACAAATTTTAACGTGTTTGCCGTAATTTTTAATATGCCTAAACCTAATTAATTCCAATCGCTACGCATTCCATATACTAGTCCATACGTCATACTGACTCGTAGAAACAAAACATCTAGGAACTAATTAACCCGTTGTTCAATATAATTCGCCAAAATGACACTTTTAAACATAAGTTAAATTTTAACATCCGAGAAAATCGTTTCGGTAAATCCTCTTAGGTCTAAATCTCGGTAATAAGCAAGCTCGTAACACCAGAGGTGTTACACATACTTTGTCTAAATACCGGCCGCTCCAACAAATCACCCGACCTCTCACAACCCGGAGGTGAAAGCCTGTAGTGCGGTGAAAGCCTGCAGTGCCATGAAAATTAATCACTCAATTTATGCTCATTGATGCCTCCTTATGTACTGTCATCATTCTACAAAACCATGGAAAGCCTCATGTTAACGACAAGAATAAGCCTTTTGCAGATGATGGCATTCTGAAGGAAGAAAAAGATTGGTATCAAACAATCCCTACTAAACATCGGGACCAACACAAGGCCTTAACCTAAGCCTAACAGTCAACAAGCTACTAATGGCAGTTAGGAACGACACAAAAAGGTGGAGGAGGTTGAAGAAGGGGTTTTGTGTGCGACTATCTTAGGTTATCATGCCCATAATATAGAAAATATGCACCATTTTTGCCATGCATGGTCTGGACACTATACCATGAGTACAATCATTTTCAATTTATGTGGAGGACCAGATATTCAGATTATCAGATGAGTAAAAAAGCACTGAAGCACCCAAAAAGAAACAAGCCTTGTCCTTTGCCTACAATGTGAGATAACATTGCATCCATATATTCGCTACCAGTAAAGCAGATAATCAATACTCATCACAGGAAATCTCCAACCAAAAGTTTATCTCCACTCTCCCAATTTCAAAAAAGAAAAACCTCACTCAATAGCCTTAAAGAAAATTATACCACAAACCTTGATTGCTGGTTTAACTTCTCTTAGCCTATACTTGTCCAGATATTTCAATCATGCTATGCAACATAAAGTCAATTCCATATGAGTTCAGTAAGATCTCTTTCAGCAACCTTCTCAATTTCGTGCAATGAGTACTGTAGCAGTTCACAAATTGCTAATCCATCATCAAACATAGGAAACGTATGTAGTCTAAAAGTGAAAAGGAGTACAATTTTTCTACCTTGTTCTTTACAAACACGAGAATGTATAAACAGGTACTCCATCTCAAATAAATTGGCAACGCATACATGGAAGGTAGCTGTAAACCAAGAAAAATAATATAATTCGTGTTGCATTGGTCCTGTCATTATGACTATTTCTTTTGCCCTATGAGATGAAATCCAAACTGATTTTTTTCCACTACATTTGTAAAGGAACAAAAGTCAATATATACATCACAACCTGATTTGACTTCAATGGTAGTAGTAAAAATAGAGAAACCTGATCCCAATGGTAGTAGTCAATATATACATTAGAGTCCTTCAACTGCGGTTACCAGTAAATAGTACCGATCAAGTACCTGCAAACGCACAGTTGAATCAAATAAAGAACCTTTCTGAATATGTATTTATTGTACCAAGAACGAATCGGTCCAGGGATGGGAGCAGATCGGAACCCCCGGCGCCGTTCATCTCCTCCGGCTCCTCCTCCAACGAGACGAGGAACAGATAGGAACCCTGGGGCGGACCGAGCCCGTGCACGGATCGATCCAGGGATTGGCGGTCTGGAAGAGCAAATCGATCCGTGCACCCTGAGCAGCGCAAACCCTAGCGATGGACAGAGAAACAGGAGGCGAGGGGTGGGAGCTTTACCGGCGCAGGAGTTGGCAACGTCGATGGAGCCATGATGAAGGCTCGCCGCGCCTTAGTGGATCCGCGCCGCCACGCGATGGGCCGCCATGGCCGCTGCCGCCACGGCTCAAGAGCACTCCGCACGCCGCCTTTAGGAAGCCGCACGACGAGGCCTGTATATTTATTTAATAACACAAATTCACCGGCTATCACAAAGAGTAAATCAGATATAACACGCTAAAGGTTTCATACAAAGTGTTGTATATTTATTTAATAACACAAATTCACCACAATGAGTATCAGGCATGATCAGGGAGCAGAAAAAAAAGATCAAAAGAACAGAAGACATGAGGTAAGTACAAACCTGTATATTGCAAGAAAAGTTTCATGTATGATTCTAGCCATAGAACCCGCTATGTATGGGTAATATTTGACATTCGTAGCCACAGAAGCATAGTTAAAAACTATATATGGAAATGGATAAATCCTTAGTAATGCAACAGCCTTAAATTGATGATGCCAATCTCCTTCGCCAGCAAGCCTTACAAAAGCTGCTTTCTTTGGCCACTTCTCCAACCATCTCTGCAGAACAAATAACAACCATATTTTCAAAACTAAGTAATTTGCTAATCTGTTTCCTATTCTATTTAGATAAAACATAAGAAAAACGACAGTAATTGACTCACATGTATCCTACAGTGGAATGCAGAGCCTATAAAATACAGCAATGACATGCCTATGCTCATCCCCACTGTGATTATAAAAAAGCCATAAAGATACCCAAAAGTCATCCCCGCAAGCCACATGAAGGGCGAAGAAGGTAACAAAACACTTCGGAATAAGGCGATTGCACCAAAACATATTAGAGCAATAGCTGGTCTGCTGAAAGTTGTTGATTCCCAGTAAAGAATAGGTGCAACAACCTGCAATGACAACATGGAAATCAAGGTCAGCAAGAAACTAAGAACGCAATCCAGGGATATCTGGGGCATCAAAAGTTATTAAAGAAAGCCAACACGTCTATTCAAGTGGACTATAAGGTGGTCACACTAAATTGGTGCCGATAAATAGATGATGCAGCCAGCTTATTCACTCAATTCAACAGAATGGAACTGTAAGCTCTCTGATGAGCTGAAATGAAGATGTCAGCATAACACGAATGATCATCAACTTCCCGGGAGAACTCTCCCATATAATTTACTTTGAAGTGACGCAAACAAGTAGCGTCCACATGCACATGACCTATAATTACAGCTGCTCCTTGCACGTGCTATTGACTTTATTGTACATAAGTGTCTGATCAGACTTAATATTGTAAACCTTTGGAAGGGATAATAAAGTTTAGTTAGTAATTGTAGGTAGAGCTGTAAACATTAATTTGAAAAAAATTTCAATCCTTTTTATAACCAGAAATATCACAACTAATAGCATTACCAGTCCATTCCAGTCAATTTACCTTGCAGTTCAAGCATAGATGGAGCATCAGTTTATATCTTAGATATAAAGGCCAATCACAGGCAATGATTAGAATTAACATAATGTTATGGCTCATTGGGGCAAGATTTTTTGTTTTCCAAGAGTCATAGCACACTATGACAATTTCAAGTCTACTCTACAAATTCACATGACACCCTCATCCAATGTAGACACCCAAAAAAAATTGACTTCCAAAGAGATCAATTAATATTCTGTGTCATAATATATTAAAATCCTTGAACACTACAATAAAATAAGCTAGCAAAGTGTAATTTATCACCAACTACATCAACATCCAACGAAAACATATTGCCAAAAAAGACTTGTGGAGTATTCCTCCTGAAGTTAACTATGATAACAGGAGCATGGACAGAAAATGGAAAACTATTTCTACCAACTCTTGGGAATAGCTTTCACAACAGAGTTTGCTTCCAAGGAAGACCACTCAAGTGGGTCCAGAGTCAGAACGGTAGCACAAGCTGTACTTATTCCAGGTATCACTTCCATGTGAAGTTGCTTGTTGCGAATACGATTTTCTCAACCAAAGTGGGTTTGTTTAATTAAGAAGGCCACCAAAAAAATTGTAGCCATTATGCCCGTCACAATAAGGTTCACTGGAAATATGTACCGCATGTTATAACATCCAAAAAATCAAGAACCAGTTGGTTTGTGAGACTATTCCTACCCATCCACCTTTTGGTGAAAGCACATACACTACTAGAGGTCCAGAGCACCAAGCCTGCAGACCCCACATATTGGGCCACTAAATACCAGTGAGAGGCATTGGCTGATGTCAAAACTTCAAGAATTGGCAAATGTAATACCCTCGGTGTTACACTGTACAATCTTTTGCTAAAACACTACATGTGTGCATCATGTTTACGTGATAATATATGAAATATAATGTGTAAATAAATTCCTGTGACTTGAAACGTTTATCGGAAACGCGAAATGAATGTTATATTTCATGTCGCGTTTTATCGCTTAGAGTTCTAAACGAATTTTTATTGAACGAGAATGCTATAGAACGCATATACGAAACTTTAATAAAGTTTGTAATACAAACTTCATAGGTGGCGATGAAATACTTGCGGTTGAGAACGGGATTCGCTAGATAGCTTACTTAATAGCTTGGAAATCAAAGTTGACGCGAATCCGAACAAAAACTTAGTCATTTTCTTAAGTCGGAGAATGGGTCGACGAAGCTAAGTTCGGCAATTTTCGAAGAAGAATCGGGCTAAGTAGTGGCATGGTTTTAGGGTTTGTTTTAGTAGCTTGACATGCCATCTTGAGCGTAAAATAGCTGGTTTAGCAATTGAAGCATTGAGGTGGGTTTTTGGGATGCTTTAAAAAGCGTGCAAGACATGTTGATCAGTGCCAGCGTCTGGTCGCGGTCACCGGGTTTCGGTTCGGCTTGGCACGCTGCACTGGCCTGCCCCTGGTGCGCATGCGCGCACCGCCACGCACGCACGCGCACCGCGCCAGCGAGCCTGGCTGCTCTGCCCGTCGTCGCGTCCGCCTGAGCCACGCTGCTCGTCGTCGCGTCGAGCTGCGCACCCGGTCGCGCTGCGCTCCGACCATCGCTGTCGCGCGGTCACTGCTGTCGTTGACCCTTCACGGCCGCACGCGCGTGGCCTGCCCGCCTGCCCTCGCCATCACGTCCGCACGCGATGCGTCACCACGCTACTGCCTCCCTGAATTGGCGTCAGTCTCTACGGCGCACTGTGCCCGAGCCACCGTCGTCTTACGAGTCATGGCGCTGCGGTCGCACGTCGTTGTGCCAGACTCGGACACGCACGTAGAGCCATCACCGTCGCGCTGTCGTCCTCCCAATTAGAAAATGCGCCACGCCAAGCTTCCCGTCCCGTCGCCTTGAATCGCGCCGGCCGAGCTGCGCCAAGGCAAACCCGCAGAGCTAGCCCATCTTCGTAATTGTGCACGTCTGGAGGTCGAGTTGGAGTCTAGCTTCGCGCCAAGCTTGCCACTGTTGCAGCCGTACGGTGTCGGGGCTTCAATTGGAGTTTTCCCCTGTCGTCGACCCCTTAAGTCCGAACGCCATCGTCCATCGATTTAGCTTGGCGTAGTCCACCTCTTTCAAATTAACTGTGCACCCAGCTAGCCCTGTTAGTTAGCCAGCGATTGGAGTCATCCCGGCGAGCTTTCCATCCTACAGTGAGGTAATGCGGGCATTCTCCTCGCGGCGGTCCGCCATGGCCGTCGAGGCAGATGCTCGGTTAGGGCGTCGCTCCTTGATCCTTTGTCTCAATTGAGCGGCGCCTTTACGTCATGTTGACTTGGTTGCCTCACCCATGTAACAGTTTCGCCAGCGAAGCAGCAGGTCACCGGAGACGCCATTGCCACGCTTGCCATGAACCAGAGTCACCCCGCGCTCATGGCCAACCGCCTTGCCGAGCCCCACGACTTCGTCCAGTCTGCCCTACATGTCTCTGGTGAGGCCCTTTTGCTCCTAGGGTAGGTGGTTGAACCGTTTGGGGTCTAGGTCGCCTGGGACACGTTCGCTGCCGCCGGTGAACTGTGTTGGAGGCCGTTCCCATGGCCGACGCGCTTGAATGTAGTAGCGATTCAAATAGGACTTCTACATTGTTGCCTGCAGTCTGTAGATGGTTAAAGAGTAGCGGTAGTGGCGTTGGGCTAGGTAAATTCGCCGGCGCCAGTGTTGCAGCGGCCCAACCCCACAGCGGCGCATGGCCACATCTACGTGCTGCACCATTTTTAATGTTTGATACCTTGATCGATTGTGCTTTGCTCGTAGAGTGCCAGGGAGGTGATGGTTGAGGCCGAGGAGGTCCGTGCTTGCCGGTATTGGCCGGCGATGCCGCGGCCTTATTTAGTTCCGGCCAGGGACCTTGAAAAACAAGAATTCGGGTAAGAACAGGATGCTAGATGCAAAGGCTGTGACTCAATTAAATAGTGTTCGAGTGAGTTTCGCGAATAGGAAAGGGAACTGAGGCTCTTTAGCAAAAGCGCCAGCTCACGCGCGGGTTCCATCATGGGCCGCGTTGTGTGGACCGCGTCCACACGTCGCAGGCGTGGGCCGCGCTGGTGGCTCACGTTTGCGCGCTGCGGGAGTGGGCCGAGCCGCGAGTAATGGGCCGCGCGGTGAAGTTTAGTTTCTTTCTTTTTCAGTAAATTAACAAATGCTTATTCAATTTAGTTTTGAGCTGAACTTTGATAATCTATAGTAAATCTTATAGATGTCCAAAAATAGTGAAACAAAATTTGTTAGGTTCACAAAAATACCATCTATCTGTTAGTGTAGTTAGTTTATAGTTAGCTGTGATAATGATAGGTTCATAAATTCAAATTAGAGAGCTTAGTATTATGTAGATTAATATTTATAGGATTTTTTTGTGGCAAATTGATGATAGTTTTAGCCATGAAATTTTTACAGTAGGATCATTAGATTATTAGGTACTCGCTGTAAATTTTGTAGCACTAGAGTAGGTTGATAAATAGAATAGCTAGTACCCTTGTTTTATCTTATATAGAGTAAATCGGTATTAAGAGTAAGAATACCTTTAGTTGCTAAGATAATATATGTCATGCTTTATACTTGTTAGTGGTAACAGTAGGTAACTTAGCACCTTAGTCGGTAGAACCCGCTTAGTAGCTTGATAGCTGTATTTTTATGTTAAGAGTTGCTGTTGCCGTATTACTAAGTGTTGCATCATCATTTCATGCATATAGATCACGAGTTGGTAGAGTTCGTGCCCGTGGACGAACAAGATTACGAGGAGGTCATTGAGGAATACGAGGAGGATATCCTCGTGCAGGAGGGAGCCCCGAAGCCATTCGGTGCTGACTTTGTTGACCCACCACCTGCCCAAGGCAAGCCCTGGTGCATAACCTATATTTTTAATGACCACTGAATATATATATGATGTGCATTTACGTTACAGGCATTTTATGGAAACTACATCCATAAATATATCTACCTATGAGTCCTACTAGTACAGGTCGAGTAGCTGCTATGCTCAGGTTTTCGGTAGCGTGAGTAACCTGCCGTTACTCACAATAGGTGAAAATTATGATCACTCATGATAAAATAGTGGAAATGAAAATGGTGACCGGACAGGGATATGGTTTGGGTATTGATGGATGTAAGAGGTTGTGTCCTGTGGCCAACAGGGCATAGCTTGCTTATACTTTTTCCCTGTCTGTGTCGGTTAAGGACCGACCGTTGCATTGGGCTCTAGGCAAGTCACAGATCTATTATCCCGATCACAAACTTGGGTATGGGCGTAGGGAAGACTTGTTGCTCTCTTGTCGTGGGTTCCGGCTCTTTCTGGACCGACTGATTGGAGGCGGGGATGGTGGAGGTCCTTGCACCGCACTAAATCCGGGACTTAGGAGCGGGGGCTTGGAGTCCAAGTTTGGATGGGGACATGGACCCCATGACAGGAGGGTGATGGGTTGGTCCTGCTTGTGCCTAGGGTACAAGCGGGACGTGTGTTTTTGGGGTACCCAGCTGGGGGCATTGATTCGTGAATCGCCAGCGTTCCGGTACGGCTTGTCTACGGTCTAGCACCGTAGTAAGAACTGAAAGATGAAAGGTGATGAAATGAAACTGATTGTTCAACTTTTGCTTGAAGTAGAACAAGTGCTTACATAGAATGGCTAGATAATAAATTAATCATGGCTGTTAATAATAACATAAATAAGGACTCACTATTAGTATTGCTTTCTGCAAAAAGGAAACCAGCAAACCATAAAGCTTTGCATATCCTTTGGAGTCGAGAAACTATTCCCCCTAGTCGGATAAGTCTTGCGAGTACATTGTGTACTCAGGGTTTATTTACCCTTGTTGCAGGTAATGCTTGAGGAGTACCATTGTGTGAAGGATTCTTCTGGTGGGCACAGACGGATCCTTGTTCTTTATCGATAGATGATTATTATCATTCCGCTGTTTAATCTTCCGCACTCTGAATTTGGCAATATAATAATGAATTTCTAAGAACTTTGGATGTATGAAATGTACCGAGTATTGTAACTCATTCTCATTATTAGATCCTTGGGAAAAAATATGGATCTTTTGGGCTCTCCCTTGGGGTGTGCCCGACGGATACCGCCCGCTGTAGCATGCTTACGGGTGCTTAGTGTCTGGTGGAAGACGAGCGCCTCTGTAAGTGCGTTATTTCGGACGGTTTTGCCACAGTAAAACATTTCTCCTTCTCCTGTATTGCAGTTGGGAATAATGCTATATGTGTTCTTTGAACAACGACATCCTATACGGTCCCAGTAATCTTTAAAACTGATATCACAACGAAATCTATTGGTATTCTATTCTAAGCTCTGCTTCAGATTAAAACTCTTGACAACCTCATCCATTTGCTGGTAATATTGGCAAAATGAAAATTAGTCATGTCACCTATTCTCACGAGCTAGCCACAAAAAAACATATAACAACACAAACCAAGAAAGGAAAAATGTTTCTACCACAAGCAAACAAAAATATCAACAAATATCCAAGCATTCCTGCACAAATCAAAATCGCATCGCAACCGACGATTTGACGGACACAGCAGGAGCAGAACTTAGAAGTGATAGGAAAGATCTCCTGTTCGCGAGCAATTTCCGCACGATCCGTGATGCAAGCAATCCCCCTCAAAGGAGGTGGCGGCGGAGGGGAGGGAGGAGGGACGGGGCAAGAACACGCACCTTCTTGATAAGGAGCGGGCCGAGGAAGACGACCGCAACAGCTCCGGCCCAAGCAAGGACGATCCCCAGCGCGGCGACCTTGGCACACCACCGGATCGCGTGGCACCGCAGCACCCTCGGGCACTCCGCCGCCGCGGCATCCCCCTCCCCCTTGGACGCCACCTCCACCTCCTCTGGGATCCTCACGTACTCGCCGCGTCTGCCATTGGCGGACCCGGGCGAACCCATCGATCGTGGGGACCCGATCAGGCTAGCATCAGCGGGGGGGACGTTGCCCCGGATCGTGCTGGTGAGGAGCCGCCGGATCGGCCGGGACCCGAGAGGAATTGGGCTCGGGTTGGGCGGGTTCCGGCGAGCTCGGCGTGATTGAGGGCTAGGGTTCGTCCGTGTGGGAGATGAGAGGAGTCCACGAGTCGCACGTGTGGGAGAGGAGGAGGGGAAGACCATGCGCGCGAGGGAGCGCAGAGCCGGGTCCACCGCACGGACCGGCGAAAGAGGGAGGTGACGGGCGCGTGGGATCGCACGGGGGGAGAGGCATACTCAAAATAAATGTCGCACCAAAAAATGTCCACGCTTTGTTCTTTTTAGTTGTAGGAGAAAATGACGAGAGCACGCCGTGATGAGCTAGCATCCGGCCGCCGCCGCCGCCACCGAGGCAGCGGACAGAGCCAGATGCGGTTAGGATCAATCTCTCCTTGAGCTCTCCTCCCCACCGTGCTACGACCGGCCTTTCGGCCCTTGCACGCCGCACGCACCGGTCCAGGTCTCACCATCTCGCTGCTTCGCCGGTGGCTAGTAAGTTCTACCACCCCAGGCTCCCCCTCGGTGTTTGGAATAGCCTCAGTTCCTGATAGTTCCCAACCATAGCTGCCGTCAGCTTTATGATCTGTTTCCTGCCTTTCTCGACATCTGTTTCGCTGGGATTAGTTGATGAGTAGCCTGAAAGGGCGAGAAAGTAATCTCACGATGAAAAGCAATTTCAGAGTGCTGTGGCATGTTTTCAGAAGTACAAATCTGGATGTAATTGCAAATAGCTATATCTGCTGCATAATATTTTTTTTATCAGGCTGCATAATATGTTTTGATAAGATTGATCAATGGAAGTTATTGTCTAGAAGCTTTCATGCTTGTAATTTCCATTACAGAACCTTTCATCTACATGAGTTTGACTGTACTCTGCATATACGACTATATGAGCTCACTACAACTAGTATTATCCAAGTAGCACTGAATCTTAATGGTTTGTGCTGTATGCTGCAGATAGCGATGCCCACCACCATCTGCAGTTTGAGCAAGCAACATAAATGGAAGATAGCAGCCTCTGTGATGCTGTTCTCCGTGCTCCTTATAGCATTTGATTCGCCATTCAGGGCCTTTTTCAGCAAGTACCTCAGCTCCATTGTACCACCATCTGGATCATCACATGACACTACATTAACCCAGGGGTAAGAATGAACTGGCACCCCTTTGTAGCCATAGGAGGAATTAAGTAGTACTATTAAGATCAAATTTTGCTACCTTGAAACAGGAATCGAAATTTATCCTCGGAGCATGCCGCTAACCTGAGTAACAGCAAGGCAGGGAAACAGATTGAACATGGCACGCACAACATGAACACCAGTTTGACAAATGCAGCTTCCGGTTGGAGCATTGTGAAGGAGGAGTTTACATTTCAAGCAGCTGGCCGCCCTTTCAATAATTGTCATGCTTCCACCATTGTAGAGGTATGTCCTTTTCTTTAAGGAAAAAGGTAATTTCAGGAAAGATGACTGTAATTTCTTATATGTGACTGTTATTGTAGATTGAGAAAGACAATTTTTTGGTTTCATTTTTCGGTGGATCCATAGAGGGGGCTCCTGATGTCAAAATCTGGACACAGAGATACAGTGTACGTTCACGACTCCAAGCAATGAACAGTGCTTGAATCTTGATCCTTGTTGCTAGTTGTTAACACTTCATTTTTCTCTAGGATGGCTACTGGCATCCTCCAGTAGTAGCTGATGAAGAAAATGCGACAGCAATGTGGAATCCTGTTTTATTTCCACTCCCCTCTCGTGAGTTGCTTCTCTTCTACAAGATTGGTGAACACCCTCAAAAGTAAGAACTTCATGTGTTCTGTCCCTCAAACGTTCCAAAACATTTTTTAAAATGGACAGAAAATATTTTGAGGAACAGGAAATACAACAAAAAGTTGTGATAATATCTGCTACGATCTAATTCTAGACATAATAACTTGTTCAGCTGGAGTGGTGCCATGAAAAGATCTCTCAATGGTGGCATGCCCTGGTTAGAGAGAGAGCAATTACCACCTGGTATTCTTGGCCCTATTAAGAATAAGGTATGTATAAACTCAAGTTCAAGAAGGCGCTAGTCGGTTTCTAGGCGACGACCAACGGCCTAGAGCCTAGGCGAGCCTAGGCGTTTCAAGGCGTTTTTCTAGACAATGGCTAATACATGCATAAATACTTAAAAGAAAAGAAAAAATAGGAGATCAGTGGTCATGGAACAGGGAGAAAAAGAAGAAGGCCCATTTAAGGGTCCAACTCTCCCACGGTCATCTTATCCCCTCCCCTCCCAGCCTCCCTGCTCCTGTCTCTCTCTCTCCCTCCCGAACTCTGCCCGCGCGGCCGTGCTCGTCGCTCGCCCGCGCCGCCACCAGCGCCCGACGTCGCCTCCTTCCCCACCGGTCGTCGCCGCCCCCGCCGACATTACCTCCTCCCCCACCGCCGCCCGACGTCCGCGCCGCCCCCACGCGTCCCTGCCTTGGCGGATCTGCCCGCCGCCACCGCCTCTTCCCACCGGCCGCCGCTGCCTCACGTAGCTCCTTCCCCATCGTCGCCCGACCTCCACGCCACCCCCACGCCTGCCTTTAGCCTCCTGGCGCGCTCGCCGCCTCCCATCGACCCTCCCGCAGCCCTAGATCTGGGGGCACACCGCCTAACCTCCGCCTACCCCCTTAGGCGAGGCGGTGCCCCTCCGCCTAGCGTTGAAGTGCGCCCAGGCGAGCCTAGGCGAGCGCCTTTTTGAACATTGTATAAACTTGTTGTCGCTTGTCCCTAAAATAGCATTACAGTGCATTCCTTCTGCTTCCAAATGCAAAGGCAAATGCAAATCGGTTTAGGATTGTAATCGGTCAAACCTCTTTATCTTGGCCCATCAGTATAGTTGATGTTACTAGATTGACAACATATAGTGGATGTAACTAGATTCATCAAGGAAAATGCTTTCATAATATATAACTTTCTCTATTTAAAGTAGTATATACTTTTATAGAAAGATACAAGTCAAAGTGTCATATTGAAGGCCATGCCAATGTCCTAAATGGCTTACATTTGGAAACAAAGAGAGTACTCCCTCCAAATTTGAATATGACATATCAGGACAACTTAATTAGTTCATTTATTTAAAACCGAAGGGAATCTTAAATATTAAGTAAGCACAAACTTAGGGATTAAGGAGAAGCTTGTACAAATTGAGGGCCGTGTAACTAAAGCTAGCTTTTAAGTTGCGGAAGGCTACTATTTCATATCTGACAAGAAACCCATTGTCAGAAAACAGTACTCCAGTTTATAACCATTTTTTGAAGGATTTTTAACCATTTTATCAAGTTAATATGCTATGCATCCTACAAGTTATTGATTAAATTGTTATCTATGCAGCCCTTTTTGCTTGATGATGGGCGCTTACTATGTGGATCATCTGTTGAAAGTTGGAGCTCTTGGGGTGCATGGCTTGAGGTAGCAACATAGATGATGTATTAAAAGGGTGAAAAGTAGTATTTTCTTGTCATATCATGTAACATGGTCCTAACAGTTTGTCTGAACAATGTAGGTCACAGAAGATGCTGGTCGGACATGGAGCAAATATGGTCCTATATTCGTCCAAGGCGAGACACTTGCTGAGGTCTTATCAAACAATCGGTCGGGTATGCATGGCTGATTCCTATGATGGAGGATTAAGATGGAGTTTTGCGCGCAAGACCGAGCTTCCAAACCCTAATTCCGGTATGTTGACTTCAAGTTTCCTCTGAAATTGAATTGACTTTCGGAATGTTTCATATATAGTCCGCATTTGTATTTGAACAATGTTTGATATGACAAACTCCACAATGGAAGGCATCGACGGAATCAAGATGAAGGATGGAAGAGTGGCGCTTGCCTACAACACCGTCTCCAGGGGCACACTCAAAGTGGCCGTCTCCACGGATGACGGCCTCTCGTGGCAAGAGGTGCTGACGTTGGAGAACACCGAAGGCTGGGACTTCTCGTATCCTGCAGTGATCCAGACCATGGACGAGCTCGTGCATGTCACCTACACATACAACCGGACGCAGATCAAGGTAGCTTTCCTTGTTCCCCATTTCGATGAGCAACTGCATGCTTTTGGTTTAGCCATTGCCTTGTTTACGGGCCTGCCTCAACGCCTTGCAATTTTGCAGCACGTGGTTCTTCGGCCCAGTTGAATAGGGTCTTGAACTTGCAGCTGGACCTGGACGGCTGGACGGCTGGACTGCTGGAGCCTGGAGGATCCAAGTGTGTAGTATGTGTCTACTTCTGCTCCTGTAGGGCAGTAGGTGGGAGAACCTCAGCTTGTAAAGCACCGTGCTTATTCACGGTTTTGTATCTTCCTGTTACCGACAATTTCAAATGAAACTATACACTATCCAGTGTGATTGTGTGGACTTTGTCATCTTATTTACTAGTTTTTGTCCGTGTTGCGCGCTCTGGAACTTTGCTGTCTTTCTCGTGTCACACACTCACACAATAACACAAATGCCCAAAATTAATAAACGCACTTTTGTTCGTCGGTGCTTTAATTTCATTGTGATGAGGTCTGAAATAAATTCATTCAGCCCTTGAACAGTTTAAGCTGAACTCTTGGCTTCGGTCTACAGTAATGCTAGCAATCAGACGTCCGTCAGCTCCCGACGCCTCTATTTATGATCCGACACCGTTCCTATCCGCTCCCCAACGGTCACCGTAGATTATGTATATAAAAAAACTCACGTAACCGCGACTGCACTCCGCCACCACCGCCTCACCTCCCACACACCTTCCTCTCCACCGTGCCTCCCGCTGGCCTTCCTCTCCACCGTTGCCGTGCCCGCACCGCCGCAGCGTGCTCCCCCACAATCGCACAGCCGCTACCGCCTCGTCGTGCGAGACCGCACCCACCTGACTGTTGTTGTCGCCTCTACCGCGGGCACCGTGCTCGATCGCTAGGGGCACCACGTGCACCCTATCGCCGGGGCCACCACAGCCACTCACCCGGGCCGCACAGCCGCCCGCCCGCCGTCATCCTCCTCCACCGCGACCGCACAACTGGATCCCGCTGTGCAGTGCTCCGCCCGCCTCCGCATGGCTGACAGGTTTTGCTGCAAGCGCATATTGCAAACGTATGTTTCAAGTATTTTAGAGTTATGTTGCAAGTATTTTAGATGGACGCTGCAAAGTAGATCAAGATGTTGAATATGTTACAATGATTGTACACGTATGTTGCAAATGTCTGTCACCAATGTTTCATTTGTGTTTTTCGGACATACGTTGCAAGTGTGTTTATGTGGATGTTGCATATGTTTCACACATATATTGCATGTGTTTTATCTAGATGTTACGTATATTTGTAATGGCTTTCAAGTGTTTTCTGGTGTTTTTTAAGTATTTCAGAAGCATGTGTTTCATCTGTCTTCATACGTATATTGCAAGTATTGTATTTTGATGTTTTAAAAAAGGGTTAATTGGAGAAACACCATTATAATTTTCGCGGTTCGAAGAAACGCCATTACTATTCGTCTATTTTGAAGCATGCCATTATAATTCTTCGTTTCCCACAAAAATGCCACTGAATACGTATGGACACAGCCTGGGCACAGCTGCAGGCGTATACGAAGACGTATACTTCATCTCCCCTGTCACTGACACGCGGGCCCCACGTGTCATCTTCTTCCTCCTCTCATCTCTCTCCGGCTCGGGACACAGTGGCCGCTCGGGACCCGGACGGGAGCTTGCCGGCGCGGGCGTGCTTGGCACCGACGGCGAGGGCGAGCACGACCTCTACTCGAGCTCTAGGCATGGGGGAGGAGCGAGCTCGGACCTGGCGGCCACGGCGAGCGTAGCACGGCCGCGGGCGAGCTCGGCCCCGGCGGCCATGGCGAGCTCAGCGCCGACGCAGACGGCCCCAGCGAGTTCGGCCCCGGCGGCCATGGCGAGCTCGACGCTGGTGGCCATGGGGGAGGGGCGAGCTCGGACTTGACGGCCACGGTGAGCGCAGCATGGCCGCGGGCGAGCTCGGCCCCGGCGGCCATGGCGAGCTTAGCGCCGACGTAGACGGCCCCAGCGAGTTCGGCACCGGCGGCCATGGTGAGCTCGACACCGGTGGCCATGGGGAGCTCGGCCCGGTCATGGCGAGCTCGTCCCCCGACGCAGGCTGCCCCGGCGAGCTTGTCCCCGGCACAGACTGCCCCAGCGAGGTCAGCCTGAGTCCAAGGCTCGGGCGAGCTCGGTCCTGGCGGCCATGGCGAGCGCAGCACTGCCGCGGGCAAGCTCGGCCCTGGCGGCCATGGGGAGCGACGCAGACTGCCCCGGTGAACTCGGCCCCAGCTGCCATGGCGAGCTCGGCGCCGGTGGCCATGGGGAGCTCGCCCCGGCCATGGCGAGCTTGTCCCCGACGCCGGCTGCTCGCCCGCGGCGTGCTGCTCGGCGTGCTGCTGCTGCTGCTCGTCGGGATGGAGAGAGAGAGGAGGAAGAAGATGACACATGGGGCCCGCTTGTCAGTGACAGAGGAGATGAAGTATACGTCTTCGTATACGCCTGCAGCTGGGTCCAGGCTGTGTCCATACGTATTCAGTGGCATTTTTTGGAAACAAAGAATTATAATGACATGCTTCAAAATAGACGAATAGTAATGGCGTTTCTCTGAACCGCGAAAATTATAGTGGTGTTTCTCCAATTAACCCTTTAAAAATAGATCGGGTGTTGCATCACTCCTCCTCGCCTTCCGCTGCATCGCCTCAGTGTCTCCTCCTTCCAACGCCGGTTAGGCATCCGTCGCCCCTCCCCCTCTTCTCGAGTTGGTGATGTTCGGGGCAGTGCGGGCCCCATGTGGACGCGCAAAAACGGCACGAAAAATAGATTGCAGGGTGCGAGCGGACGGACGCGCCGTCTGTCCAGATATCCGAGCACTAGCAAGCCCCTTCAGTTTATGGTTGTACAAGTTGGATAGAAAGCTCGGTTTCTGCTTTCTGAAAAGCGAATTGGACCAGAGTTAGAAAACGTACGCTTTCCTTAAGGGTACGACCAATGGAGCTAACACTTTTAGTGATTTATTACAAATAAAGTGATCCACATAGTCTAGGAAATGTTAAAACTACTATTTACACAATACAAACTATCAATATTTGTAATTTGCATAGGAACTTTTTTCTTTCATCATACTTCACCTTTATTTTTCTCCCCCTCTTCTTTTTTAGCATAGACCACCTTTTCTTTTCCAAGCATATATAGTTTCTGCGGACCACTGCGACAACTGCAGAGCACCTACTTATCTGATAAAAAAATAGTCTCTGGAGCTACTTAGTAAAGTAGCAACGTCAGGGAAGGCCTAATTTTTGTAAGAAAACGTCAAACCGCATAGTCGCAACCGTGCACGCCCGTGAGCGTGTGGACAGCAGCAAGCGATCGCCTAGCCCGGCCCCAAGGCCCAAGCCACTCCATGACGGCATGACGTACGATGGCCGCCAGGTGCTCCGACGAGGCACATCCACGACCGCGGCGGAGCGCGACGTGTCGCGCGCCGCCGCCGCGTCCCGGCACGCGCACATGCACAACCTGGAACTCTCGCCGCCTAAGGCCAGCAGGCTATCACGAAGTCACCGGAAGAACACGCTGGTAAACTCCAGCGACACCTCGGTATAAATAAGCAGGAGACGGCGAGGTGAACCTCTGCAGCTGAGGGTACTAGTAAGTTCCCGGCGGTGACAACAAGTCGAGCGAACTCGATCAAGCTGACCAACGACGACATGGCCTCACTGCAGCAACCCAACAAGGTGAGAGTTAATTATATCACCCATCGGTCGGTCTCGCGTTCTTCCGATCCTGTCTGTCTTCGCCGAATCGCCGCAACCGCAAGGCGTGATCTGGTACGTTTCGTGTAAATAACTTGTGTGGGTTCTCGTATTATTGTTCGTTCGGCGGGAGAGGAGGAAAGCGGCGGCGATGACCATGCCCATGCGGTTGCGGACGAGGCGGTGCGCGGGACGGGGAAAGGCAAGAGCGAGGCGGCGCCGGGGCGCCGGAAGGTGACGTACGGATTCCACCTGGTGGAGGGCCGGATGCCGCACGGCATGGAGGACCGCCACGTGGCCGAGTTCCGGCAGCTGGACGACGGCAACGAGGTCGGCCTCTTCGCGGTCTTCGACGGCCACTCCGGCGCCGACGTCGCCACCTACCTCCGCGAGCACCTCTTCGACAACATCCTCAACCAAGTAACACACTCATTTCTTTAGCAGTTCAGACGGATGCTTGCGTCGATTTTTTTCTTTTCGTGACGCGTCGTGGCACGCGGCAGCCGGGCTTCGATTTCTGGACGGACCCGATGGAGGCGATCCGGCGCGCGTACCACCGCACGGACCGGAAGGTGCTGAAGAAGAAGGAGGCGGACGACGACGGCGAGGGGAAGGGCAGGCGGCGGCGCGGCGGGTCGACGGCGGTGACGGCGATCCTGATGAACGGCGAGGAGCTGGTGGTCGCCAACGTGGGCGACTCCCGCGCCGTGCTGTGCGACGCGGGCGGCACGGCCAGGCAGCTGTCCGTGGACCACGAGCCGCTCCGTGAGCGCCGCGGCGGCTTCGTCACCGAGATCCACGGTCGGTAACGCACACGCACGAAACAGGCCTCGATCGGTTGCATGCACGAAACGACACGATCCATTGTTGTTGTTGACGACGATATATACGTGCAGGAGACGTGCCTCGCGTGGACGCGCAGCTGGCCATGGCGCGCGCGTTCGGGGACCGGTCGCTCAAGGAGCACATCAGCTCGGACCCGGACGTGGCCATCGAGGACGTCGGCGACGGCGTGGAGCTGCTCGTGCTGGCCAGCGACGGCCTGTGGAAGGTGATGTTGAACCAGGAGGCGGTGGACGAGGCTCGGGGCGTCGAGGACGCCCGCGAGGCGGCGGTCAGGCTCGGCGACGAGGCGGTGCGGCGGGACAGCAAGGACAACATCTCCTGCATCGTCGTGCGACTGCACTAGTGAACATCGGCTCGTACGAATGTATGCACAATGCACTGTCTTACAAACAACTAAAATCTGAACTGCGCTGTACAAATTTATAGGTACGAGTTAAATACTCGGCCGCATGCAATTTCGGCGAGGGGATTGATAGGTTGCATTTGAACAAACTGTTTCTCCCTGGCCCAGCCCAGGAACAGTTTCAGCAACAGCCGAGGCCCAACCCTTACTG